GGTTCATAGGATTGAAGGCATTTCCATCAACTGCCATTTCAGAAGGATTCTCTAGCTTAACTTGAACCAGCGGCCGATCTTTTTCCATATCCATGTTGGGTCGTGGTGATGTAACTTGACGCCTACGCAGTCTCTCTAGCTGTTGCTGCTGCTGAAAGGTTGGGGAATTAACCATTTGCTGCATCTGTGGATGCATTTGCCTCTGGATCTGCAATAACATCAAATCAAGAACTCAGAAGTTAAACAAAAAGAAGTAACTATTTAATTAAATGGTCTCTTCATGCAACGGAAACTATTATGATGCCAAATGATAAGCGCAACAATCAGTGCATGAGTTTTATGCACATACTTGTTGCGGTAACCGGAGAGAAGCTTGTTGCTGCAGATGTAACTGTTGTTGCAGCATTTGTGGTTGTTTCTGATTTAAAGGAGGATGGTTTCTAGTACCATCTTTCACAAGCTCTGCTAAACTCCCAAGATTACTGAAAAAGGCGTCAAACTTAATCACATGAACAAAACAAAGAATAGAAGTTTTATCATTAACATGTGTCTATGTGGACAAAACTATGAAAGGGAAAACATATATGGAAGGTAATATCTAAAGATTTCAGACTTAATTAAGAAAAAGATTGGCTCTTCGTCAATCACTTGAATGAGGCAAAACCATTTTAAACAACTCACCTATATCCCGTCGTATTAAGAAACATCTTAATCAACTGCGTCGCTGAGCACTCTTTTTTGTAACTATCAGTAAGAAGCCTCAAAATACGGCCTAATTTAGAGATATGTCGGCTAACCAACTGAGAGAAGACATCAACTGGAACCTCGGTTGCACCTTCAAATCCCATTGTTAAAAGCATGCGTGCAACAACTTTCCGGGATACCTGAGCCGCTTGATCATCACTAAAACCCAATTTTTCAGCTTTTCTACGACGCAGAACTCCTCTTTCTTCCATCCTATGGTACTCAGGCATTACCCCAAGCCTCTCGATCATGACATGACTCCTGGTAGTAACTTGAGGTAAAGTATCAAGTACCCCATAGAACTCTGTTTTTAAGTTGTCCTGTGTTCTGGTAATCGGCGGAAGGGCAGTCTCAGGTACACAGTTCATTCTAAACATTGTCTCCGGAAGAAAAAGTATATCATCTTCTGAAGAACTTCCATCGAAGCCAGAACTTGGATGTGTACTAGATCTACTCATATGAGCTGAACTTCCCGAATTTCGATCTTCTAAAAAAGGTGCACGCTTTCTCTTATGAGTATCCACAACTCTAAGATAAGTAGACATCCCTTCAGGTGTGCGTTTATCAGATTCTTGTCCTCCAACCGACATCCCATACTTAAAACCATACCTTGAAATAAACTGAGTGTACCATGTGTCGGGTAGCTCCTCAAACCTAGATCTCTGAGAAAGATTACTGAAATCAGACTCACTACCTCTCGTCCCAGAGGTGAAACTTGGCTTGGATAGGCTCTGAAAATTAATCACATAGAAATCAACACATGTACTGAAAGATAAACAAACACAAATATGCCAGCTCTAACTACAAAAGCCCTAAAATGAAAGATTGGGCGCCATCAGTGATATTGATAATGTAATAGTGAACAACACTGCAAATGCAAAAAGATCCACAAAGGATAAGATGAGAGTACTGAAGTAACATAGCTCACTACCAACAGTTAAATGGGCTTCTACTACTTAAGCATTTAGTGATTAGGATAAAATCAAGAAGAAGGTGAACCCTTTCGAATCAAGATTAAATTCTAGAATCACCTTGGTTAAGCTCGGATTGAGGCGAATCCCTCCGTCTCGCTGAAACCCACCTTCGAGAGAAGCGTTCTCCAACGTGTAGTACACATCATCTCCGTGGAGCTGTAAATCTGATATTGAAACAAAGTAATTGAAAGAAAAAAAAATTCCCACGGTTCAACACACCTGAAATTTCCATTAAAAAAAGCTCCAAAAAAGAAACAAACATACAATTAGGATTGAGCTTGGACACGGCGACAGAAGAAACATCGGAAACGGAAGTAGAGGAAGATGAAGCGGCGATGGAATTGGATCGGAGGAAAAGCGAGACGGTGGCTTTATCGAATAACAGAGCACGAACGCGGAGCTGGAGCTGAATCTGAGACCTAGGCTTGGACTCATCAACGCGCATAAAAGCTTCCCAGGTAGAAGGAGAAGAAAGGTAATGGTGAAAGGAGGAATAGATAGAATCGCCGAGCCATGTCCGCCACACGCCGGAAACTTCAAGTCTTCTCGCTAGATCGAAGCCACGACCGTCGTCGCCGAGCAGTGCCATTGTCACTCTTAATTTTCTGTCTAAGTTAGTTGACAAAAATGTCAGTTTTGCTTACTGATAATGGGCTTAGTAGGCTTTAAGGCCCATTTAAGTTGCCCAGTCAAAACAATTAAAAGAAATTAAAAGAAAAAAATAGCGCGCCAGGAAGGGGTCGAACCTTCGGCCTTCTGCTTAGGAAACAGACGCTCTATCCACTGAGCTACAGGCGCTATTTATTATTCCCATAAGTAAATAATTTAATTACTTAGAAGAATTTAACTCGTAAATTCGGCAAGAAATTAATGTTAGCAGAGCCGTCGATGGAGAGATAACATACGAAATACAACTATGATCATTATTTTATATTATCAGTTAGTTACGTACTTTGAATTGATGATTTGTATGATCTTATGACAACAATATCTTAATTGGTTATTTGGTTATAAAATAACACTTGTTGGTGGTCCTTTTCCGTTGATGACGATAACTATTTTCCATGTAGAGACGTATACACTTCATGTCGCATCCACTATCTAGTATGTATGTGGTTCGGTTAGGTTTTAAATATGACATATATGATACTAGTATTCTCTAACTCAGGGGCGGACCTACGTTATAGGTGGTGGTGGCAGCTGCCACCAGTAACTTATAAAATGTTAAAAATTTTATTATGTTCATAATTGTTAATATAGCAAAATGGTTATGTTACACCCATAATACATGGGAGATGGTGAGTTCGAATCCTATAACTGTCACTTTGCACCCACTAACATTTTTGGCTGGGTCCGCCCCTGCTCTAACTCGTTGTTGGATTAAGTGATTTGTCTTTTTAAATTAACAATTCAATTCAGACCAAAAGTATAAGCTTACGCGCGCATAAACGTCCCATTTCTACCATTACGATTAACGCAGGTCACTTGGTTTCACTTTTGAATTCATTACTACTTGAAAAACAAAAAAATCTCAAACAAAAAGTCAACTAAAAACAACTAACTGAAATTCGGATAGAACAAGAGAGAGTGTGTGTGTGTTAAATGACTGTTTAAGTGAGAATGAAATCGGTTAGACTGACTTCTCCGACAGAACATGACATTGGTGAGTTTGGTGGCCATTTTGATTTGGACTTTATGGGCCCAATTAAGAGAGCGAGAGAGAGAGAGAGAGAGGTAGGAGATTAGAATTGGAGAGTCAAATTAGTTAAGGGGTTTAGTTCACCCACTTTGCAAGAAAACCTCTTCTCACACTAGTTTACCTTTCTCATTGAATTTAGTAATTTACCAATTAAGTAACTAATCACTTTATTTTATAAATGTACTACGTTACGAGTTTTGCATTTCACCAAAGACTACAAAAATATTCATTTCTGAGCAACAACTTCACTTAAGTTGTTAATTTTTTTTTATATGAGCTTGTCTATATTATATTACAACATATAATATACACGTTAATGCAAATCCCTTTTGTCAACGCACAAAACTTTAGTGCGAAACGAAAATTAATTAATAATCACCAAATCTACTAAATGTTTATTTTAAAAAACATATAACATACTTATTTGTATGTTACGAGAATTGGCAGGGAAATATATATATATATATATATAATATATATATATATATATATATTGGTATCAGTGTTAAGTATTTTATACCATTTTTGAAATTCTGAGTTGGGGACTTTTAGATTGTTAGTTGTTACTGTGAGATTTTTTTTAAAGTAGGTTACTGAATGTTAGTTTTCGACCTCTCATAGCTAGTTTTAATTACACTTGTGTTAAAAATTTATAGTAGTGAATTTTTAGTTATATATGTATGTCAAATTCATATATAATTTTGCTTAGCTTTATCCCGCGGAAAGTATTGATTTGTTCATTATCAATGAATACTTCGTTTTCAGCTAACGACACAACCCACAACCACAACAATCTGTAGAGAAAAATCGACACGTCTGTTTGTTATAGTTTTCGATTGTATTATAATTCCATGCATATCAATCGTACGTTCTTCATTCTAAATTTTAATCATGATCATCGTATCAAACTAAGCTACAAATGAAAAACTAATTTTAATCATGATCATCGTAATTCCTAAGTGACGCGGTGGGTCCAACTAATGAACTATGTCGCGCCTGATGAGGATTAGATCAAAGGTTTTGTTTTAACCAAGCTTCATGAATCATGATGACTCGTGACTATCGTGTCGTGAACCAAAACAATCTCATAAATGTGCTCTGTCACACATAGGTTATAAAATTATAAACGTGTTAGATTTGATGTTTACGCTCGAGTTTATATTTTAAGAAGAGGTCGATAAGACAATAACAATGGTTTGGTCTTAGCTAGTGTGGTTAAAGCTTCTTCGCCATATGTTTCCTTTCTCGTTACGATGGCGCCACGACCATAACCGATAAATAAGAGAGATATGGCATATTCTTACCTCGAAAAGATCACATTCTACGGCATTTTTATAAATAAGTTTTGTGTGTAGGTTTATACATTAATGAAAGCAAATCGCTGGACCAGACCTAAAACAAGTTGTCAGTCATTCACATGCTAATATTAAATAGCAAACTGAGTAAATCTCACAGAACCATCTGTGTAAAGTGAAGAGGATGTCTTGTCTTCTCAATCACAGTGAATTACGGAAATGCCATTGAGACTGGTTTGGATATTTCAACCGTCGGCGTGTCTGTTCGTTGGAGGGCGTTAGTTACGGCATCGTATCACCTTTTCATCTTCTTCAATAGTTATATAAAAAATGTTCAATTAAAAAATATACAAAAGAAGAGAAGGGAACTTGACTTGCATGGTGGAGTTGTATAAATATAGCAGAGAGATTCCAATTCCATTACCAGTCATCTGATATCTTCCTTCTCTTCTTCTTTAACTTTTTATTTCTTTGCTTTCTAAGAATAACAATTTCTAAAGATAATTACCTCTAACGAGAGACATTAACAATAACAACAAGAAATTAACAAAAGAAAAACACAAACCTGAGTTTTCCTGTTTCTCTGGCTCTGTTCTTTCTCCATCTCCTCTCGGAGATGTTACTCTGTTTCCCTGTTTTTTGTTTTCTGGGATAGATTTTATATGAAGCTTTGAGGTTTTTTTTGTCTAGTTTATTCAAAGCTTCTTACAAAGAATCCCAAAAGACGAAAATTTTCTCGACGCTATGGCTGTTGAAGGTATGGCTAAAGTTAGTTTTTTTTTTTTTTTGTTATATTTTCCGACATGTTTATTTGTCTGTTCATCATCCGAGTTTTCTTTTCTGGGTTTGTCTCCAAATTAGAAATTCTTCAGTTTTCTGTTATTATGTTTGAGGAATTTACACGAACACGTTATGTGCATTTGAAAATCTAAAAACAACAAAAATAAATTAAATAAAAAATCTTGCTTTTGATTCGTTGCAGAGATGGAGAAGAGGATCAAAGGAAGCCATGAGACGGAGCTACAGAAAAACGACTTATGTATTGAAGATCCATCTCCAAGATGTGTGCTTGAAATCCCGGCAATTAGCTCAGACTCCGATAACAGCAGCAGCTGTAGCTCGTGTTCGCCTGATAAATCAACGTCGCCGTTGTCGACGACCCCAACGAACGTTTCGTCTTTTCATCAATGGAACAAGATGATCGAATCCATCAAGAAGAAATCAATCAGGAGATTCTCAGTCATCCCTCTCCTCGCTACCTACGAGCTCACCCGTAAGAACATGCGGCGGAAACAGCCCAAACTATGTCCTTCGTCGGAAAACGAATTCGACTGTAATCAAATCCTCGTCGCTAAACCTTCCTGGCGTAATTTCACCTTCGACGAGCTCGTTGCCGCCACCGACAACTTTAATCCCGGTAAAGTTCAAATCGTTGGAAAGACCAAACTACCCCCATTATATCAACTGTGGAACATGAAAAGATGAAGCTCCCTTGTGAAAACAGAGTATTATGAATTCTCCAACTTTCAGATGTAAATTTTGGGTATTGATTGTGTTGTTGTTGTTGATAGAGAACATGATTGGGAAAGGAGGGCATGCGGAGGTATACAAAGGTGTTTTGCCGGACGGAGAGACTGTAGCAATCAAGAAGCTAACGAAACACGCCAAGGAAGTAGAAGAAAGAGCCAGTGATTTCTTATCGGAGCTTGGGATAATCGCACACGTCAACCACCCGAACGCAGCTAGGCTTCGTGGTTTCAGCAGCGATCGCGGTTTGCATTTTGTGCTTGAGTACTCTCCCCATGGCAGTCTCGCTTCTCTACTCTTTGGTACAAAAATCCCCTCTTCTTGCTGGTTTTAGACCGTTGCTGTTCACTGTTGTTGTAATGTCTATGTTTTTTAAACTTTTGTAGGATCTGAGGAGTGTTTGGATTGGAAGAAACGGTACAAAGTGGCTTTGGGTATAGCTGATGGTTTGAGTTATCTTCATAATGATTGCCCTCGACGGATTATTCACCGTGATATCAAAGCTTCTAACATCTTGCTCAGTCAAGACTACGAAGCTCAGGTATTGATTGATTGATTCAACCAAAGCAATCAAACTTTTTGTGCGTACTGAGAATTCGATATGAACTTGTTCTGCAGATTTCAGATTTTGGACTAGCTAAGTGGCTCCCAGAGAATTGGCCTCATCACATTGTTTTCCCAATCGAAGGCACATTTGGGTCAGAGTCAGACAGAGGATCCAATTTTTTCAATTCTCTGCTGTGAACCTTCTTTTCTCGATGTCGAATTCTAAACCTGGTCGGTTCTTTGTTTTTCTTTCAGATATCTAGCTCCAGAGTACTTTATGCACGGGATTGTTGATGAGAAGACAGATGTGTTTGCGTTTGGTGTATTGCTTTTAGAGATCATAACTGGTCGTCGAGCTGTTGATACTGCTAGCCGGCAAAGCATAGTTATGTGGGTAATGATCTACCTTTCACATTCTCTTTGTATGCATCTTCCAGCTTTTGAATCAAACAGTTAAAACAGCTTGAATGCTTTTCATATAGGCAAAACCTCTTTTAGAGAAGAACAACATGGAAGAAATAGTTGATCCTCAGCTCAGAAATGACTTTGATAAGACTGAGATGAAACGAGTGATGCAAACAGCTTCGATGTGCATACACCATGTATCCACTATGCGTCCTGACATGAACCGGGTATGTTCCAAAGACACAAAACCAGTCTCACTCTTAGGTTCTAATTGTCACAACTTGGATGATGAATTGTTGTGGTTTTGCACGCAGTTGGTGCAGCTGTTGCGTGGAAATGACCGCTTAGCTGAGCTGCAACAAAAAACAGGCGGAGCAAGAACAGTGAGTCTCGACTTAGATCACACCTCTTCCTCTTACCTTAATGATCTCACTCGGCATAGACAACTCTTGATGGAGTAATCAATCTGATGAAGTCAATTACACAAAAGGAAAAGAGAAACCTTTAGACTCATCTCCAATAGAAACGAAACAATAACAAAATGTTTTTTTTTTCTTTTATCATGCCTGTGATTCTGCTTTATCTTCTCCATTGTAAAAATCTCCAAAGGAGGGAAAGTATTGTATGTATAATTTGGCTTTTGTCTTCAAATTGTGGTTGTCTCTATGTTTTTCTTGTAAAAGAGCTGTTAGTAAAAATTTAAAATATTCAGATGATAAATCTCACAACAACTTGTAAATAAATGTCTTTTAGGGGAATAAAGTGAGCATATATAGTCACTGGTTTAGTCGTCTTCTCAGATTTATTCATACAAACTTACAAAGCAAAGAGAGAGACATATGGCTACAGAAACAATCATACAAGGAGCAATTTTGGCACTGACCTTTGTTACGTTTTGGGCGATTAAGTATCTCTCTCAACGAGGCCTGACCAAATTCCGAACCAAACACCGAGCCACACTCCAAACCCAGCGTCAGCTCATCCAAGCCTCACGTCTCCTCGCTCGTGCCCGAAGCACACCTAAGAAATCCCAATCTCAATCTCTCGCCAAGACGGCGCTCACTGAAGCCGACGATGTGATCTCACTTTCACCAGACGATGCAGCCGGTCACATCGTCCGTGCCTTAGCTCTAGATCTGCTTGGTCACCACACCTCTGCTCTCAAATCGTTCGATACGGCCCTGACTTATCCACGCTTGAAGTCTCTTTCAGTGGGAGAACGCGCCGATGCGCTCGTTAAAAGAGCTGAGATGAAGCTGGCTGTGAATCGGCGACGGAGGATTGACTCGGCGATTGAGGATCTGGAAGAGGCGGTGAGGCTCGCCGCCGGCACGGATACGGCGAGACTATTCCGTCTACTGGGCGAGTGTTATGAATTCAAGGGCTTGAATGAAAAGGCCCATTGGGCTTTTAATGAAGCTTTAAAAGTCCAACCAAGTTCAACAACAGCTCGTGAAGGATGAGAAAAGGATCAGTCTTATATTTCTTCTTGTACCCTGCTATTTTTCACTATTTTCGTTTCGTGACTATAAATTAGTAAGATGTTTTGATGACACATTCTCCCTTGTATTTTTGTTAACTCAGTTTTAAAGAGTTGGAAACAGAGTTACACTGATAAGGCCGATTACATACAAAAAATAAGTAATAAAACTGATCATCCGCCCCTAAAAAAAGAACATTACAACAAAATCGACCGCCAAAAAGTTTCAGCTTCTTCAACTTTGCTTTCTCTACTTCTGTCTTAGCCTACAGTTAAAAAGGTACTTGATCTTTGTAGCCAGAGTCAAGAAGATAAGCCTCTGGTCCTCGCTTAGCTGCGGTGAATAAAATTTCTAAGCAAGAACGAACCATCTGATTCAGTAAGACGGGTTAGTCCACAAGAAAAACTCAGCTGGGTTCATAGGAGCTTGGACTGTGGAGTCAGAAGCCAGAGGATAATGCTGAAAGAAGTTCTGGTGGTGATAGAGAACTGATGACTCGAATGGAATGCCACATGGGATTGAGTTAGGGTTCACATCCGAGGAAGAAGAGGACGGAAGCAAAGGTTGTTGGAGGTTATGGTCAGATGAAGGAGGAGATTCAACAGCGAGTTTGTGGCGTTTCGCAGAGTTTCCTACGGGGAAAGAACTTTTCATGACTGCTTCAACGTCATAGCGGTTCATCTCAAAGTTAGTTACTGCGTTGATTCCTCTGAACTTTATGGCTGCAATGTCATAAGCCTCTGCTGCTTCCTCTTCGGTTGCTATACACATACATACGGATCAGTGGCTGGGATTTTCAGGGTAAAGAATAGGTTGTTGTTTACTAATATAACGTCTTACCAAAGGTTCCGAGGTAAAGATCTTTGTTTCCAGCGACACGGCCAATTCGTGCTTGCCAACGACCTTGTTGATGATGCCTTGTGACACCTCTATATACAGAAGCTCCTCTCGAGAAACCGCTACTTTTCCTGAAAACATTTAAGATAAACCAAATGTTCTTCCGGTGTACATATATACGTAGACCAATCATTGATTTGACTCACCTCCTAAGAGATGCAATGAACTCTTGCTTGGTCATGTGATTCATATCCTCAACTTCTTTCGAATAACTTGCGGCCTAATATCGATAGACCAATGACAAGGTAAATAGCATGCATGCGGAAAATATAAAACAAAGTTAGCAAAACAGAGCAAAAGGGAAGAATATAAACCGGGAAATTTGTAGTAGCAGTATGACCCCAGTATTTTAAAGCTGCTAAGTCATAGGCTCTAGCTGCTTTATCTTCCTTGTCATATCCACCTTGAATCAATCAGAAATAGACATTATTTGCCAAACTCTATATATCAATTCCATAAAGGTTTGTCAACAGAGTATTATCTTTCTTACCTAAGTATACTGTTGAGGCCGTGATGTGAATGGAAGACCATATTCGAAGGTACATGCAAAACAAAGAAAGACAGGTTTAGTAGCCATCACAAAAGCTCATCATGTTCTTGAATGTTTTTTACTAGTTACTTCAAACAAAATCATGGTAAAATTCATAGTACCACAAAAATAATATACGAGGGAAGAAGGATTTGATTAGGGTCAAAGCTAGATTCCTCCCTTGTGTTCACAACTTCACATCACACTTTGCTTTTGTGTGCGATGTGAACAGAAGACACAAATCAATCTGACACATTATAGACATAGGAAACCCTACAAAATCAACCTCTAACCAGAGAGATTTTTAAAAGTTCAATTCCAAACACAAAAAATCCAAAAAAAAACAAGCAAGCAACAAAACATACGCATAGTGTCTAAATAGTTTCACATCACATGCATGTGTAGTATGCAGTATACTTAGGTCATACACATACATATCATATAATTGGAATAACAATAAAGAGTCAAAAGTGGGTACACAAATATGTCAATCAAGAAACAGAGATTGCATCATATAGGCATCAGCATTGGGTCCCCATACAAGGTGAAATGTGAAGATTTTCAAAGATAGCTCTAATAAAGACAAGGAACAAAAATGGCGGCACCCTTGTGATGAAAATCTCAACCAAATATATATAGATTTTTTTCATATTCTATTCTATTTTCTTTTTGTTGTTCAAAATTTCTATTCTATTATTGTTAGTCCTTTCTGTTTAAATTTTCCAGTTTAAAATTTGGTTCTTTCCTTGACTTTATGCCCATATACCAAAGTCTATCAATCATCATAAAGAGATGGACATATCACCTAAAAGAAAAAGCTTTTTGAGTAATTTATATTTATTGAATCCTTTGCATGCATCTCTCTTTTCACTCTTTCTTTGACAAAACCTTTGTACTACTTCATCTCTCCTTTTGTTTTCCCCAACCATAAAAGTTAAAGAATGAATGTTTTCTTTAACCCCAATAGAAACTATTTTTTTTATCAAAAGAATAAAGACTCAAAGAGACAGAACACATTGTTTCAGCTTAGCATAATCAAAGTTAGATTGACACATGAAAGTGGTGAGATCGTCTTGATAATTGCTAACTGGTGCATTTTGAAATGCTAACATACAAAAATCCCCATTCTAATCAAGCAAATAATTCAAGAAACAACTCATACTAAGTTTTTTTTGCCTTATTAAAAATAGAATAGAATGGATGGAAGAAAAAAAGATATAGAATAGAATGAGAGAAGTATCAATTAATTTACCTTGACGTCCTTTTCTTGCTTGACCTTCCCTCCTACAGCTGTTATCCCATAGATGCGCTTCGTATCTCCCAGTCCATCTATGTCTGCATCAATCAAACCATATATATGAAACTCAAATCAAATATCAAATCTTTTTCCCACCCACAAAACAAAAACTTTGAATTTCAACTGTATACACTCCACATTGCAATTTACATTTCCCATGATTTAAATTCATAACTTAACTTGATTTCTCAATCGAACAAGACCTAAAAATCGATATTTTTTCCCCACCCACAAAATAAAAATCAAAACTTTGACTTGGATCTTCTCATTATTAAAAAAAAAAAGGTGATGAACTTGATTAGTATTACTAATAACATATGAAGAGTTAGTTTATAATAAAACTTACCGGGTGACTCCTCGATAAATCGAAGTTCTTTGTCCTAATGGTTCGACAACCTTCTTCTTCGAATCATCCGATGTTTCCTTCTTAGAAACTGTTGTCTTCATCTTCTTGCTGTTTTCTCTTCTTTCGCCATTGTCGCAGCTTAAAGGTTGATCTGATGTGTTGTTAACCGCTAGAGACAAAGCTTCTCCAGTGGTTGCACCACCGTTAAACCCTAGCTCCGCCGTAGTTGATGATGACTTCACCACGGCGTGACCAGAGAGATGAGTCCCAACGATGTTGGAGGCTGAGTCATCGACGATCTCTGAGCCGGAGTTTACGGCCTTGAAATCGTGATGGTCGGAGAAGAAGCCTGTAACTCCTCCGGTAACGGTGTGGTGACTTAGATCGTAGAATCGAGTGAGAGAAGAAGAAGAGTCTTGTGTCTCGGTTTGGTTATCGGAGTAACGGACGAAGGAATCACCGAGAAAATCTTCGAGCTTTGGAATCTGAGTCTGAGAATGGATTTGTGAATCGAAATAAGTGGATAAGGTTGTTGAATCCGCCATTGTTGCAGCAGCTTCTATCTCAGCTTCTTCTTTAAAAATTTCAATCAAAACAAAACAAAACAAAACAAAAAAGTTAGCAACTTTAACTATAAACCAACACACCTGAAAAATCACTATGAACAAAAAATTTCTCGAGAAAGTTTTAATGGAGAAACAGAGATTCGTATTCAATGTATCATACCAAAAGAGGTGATTTTTAACAGGAGAGGTGTCTTTATGAAAAGAAAAATCTCACTTTTTAAGTTTGTTCTGTTGTTTTTAATATTTTTGTATTACTTTCTCGGGAAAAAGACAAAATCAGCAACCGAGAAAAGGAGGAGAAAGGAGGCTATGTGAACTCAGCAACTCGGTTATAAAGAGGATAAGTCGGTTAACAGAGCATATACGTCACACTAGTCTCTACTACTGGGTTATAAATAAAATAAAGCAGAGGTTTTGACGTTTCGTGTTTTATAATACCATAGAAGTTATCGAGGAGAAAAGGGGTTGAAGAAGCGTCGAAAGAAGAAGGGAAGTGAGAATGCTCAGGTGATTTCAACAACTCCATTGGTGACCGAGAAAACGTTAACCAATTAGTCATTGGAGGAGGAGCCATCATCAACAAAGATTGAAACTTTTCAAACTTAAAATCTGCAGAAAATGACAAGAAAAAAGAAGATGATTAATGAAAGTAACTCCTTGATCAAGACTCAAGAGAAGAGGAAAAAATGGGGTAAAAGTAGATAACCTGATTGCCAAGAAAAAAGAAACAAAAGAAAAGCGTTACAGTCTCGTTAGCTTTAGCTTTGGAGATTCAGGTTTTTTGCATTTTGTACTAAAGGTTTTGAAGAGAGCAGAGTACATAAGAGAAGAAGAAGAGGAAGATGTAGAGGCAGAAAAAGCTCTTTTTAAAGACTGGTTAGTTTTATTTTTCTAATAAGACAAGAAGCTTATTTTTAATTTCACCCAAAAAGAAAAAGTTACCAAACTGTAGTCTGGACTCTGGAGGGAGAACAGTGTGGAACGGTTTCTCCGGAGTAGACCGGCGTGAAACCGGAGGGGATTTTTCGATTGACACTTTTGCTTTCTTTCTTTTTTTGGGTATTTGTAAAGGAAGTGAAATAATTAATGTTGATGCAAAATCATTTGTTGATTACTTTATACTACTTCTGTTTTTAGTGATAAGCGGTAATAAATCATTTCTATGGTTAGACTTTTTTACCATTATGGTAATATGATTACCCATTAAGTCAATTTTAAACTAAATAGGAAAATAGTTCATTACTTAATCACCAGGTAGTCTAAAGTGTTTATGTTACTACACAAAGTGTAAAGTTATGGACTATTGTGTGTTATGTTGTATCTATAACCAGAAACTACAAAAAACACATTTACACAAAGTGTGGAGTTAATGTGTTTATGTTGTACCTTTATAACATATTCTAATTACACAGGTCTTTGTTTTTATTTTTTTCATTAGTAATGTTGAAAATGTATAAAATAGATTAATGTTTTTAGGTGGTGGATGTGGGGGTTTTGTTTAGCACTGCGGAATATAGATTTTTGTCTGGAACAAAGGTCGCAAAATATCTGGGCCGACGTGACCAATATGTTCACTAGGACAAATATATTAGTAACTCTAGTTATTTTGTTAGTACAATTTTAAACTATATTTTATATGGGTTCATAATCAAAAATGTTTTTTTACTTTATTTTGTCATAATCAAAAATGTTATTAAAAACTAGTATTATATCATTATCATGTAATTAAAAAGGTAGAGTCAGCAATTAAGCACATGATTAAGGATTAATGTCGTCTTTGTTTAGAGCATTTTGGTATCCTATGGTTTTTACTGAACCTTTTATAGGTTTATACCCAAGTTTTTGGCTTTATTGTTATTGCCTTGTTCCCAGCTTTTTATTTTATTTTATTTTATTTGATAGTAATCGAACGAGATTAATGTGATTCATTTCCAATTTAAATATTTAATCCGGTTTTAAGAATGTGCTAAACTTGTTCGGTGGAGGTCCAATGCCTTGTTGTATAATTTTATTGTATTTGTTTTACCGGTTTAGTTGCTTTTGACCTTTAAACCCGAGGTGACACGTGCGCATCATCTTTATGATTCATGACCATCAGTTTTTTCACTTTTTTTCTGGTCTAATTCTAAGTCTTCACGTGCGACATCTTCGTCGTGTAAACAAAATCCTACAGACTCCGTTAAAAAAAAAAAAGTTTCATATTCCTCTTCCTCCAATATGACAAATGGGAGTATTCTTTATTTCACCTTTGCTAATGAGAAAGAAAATGAAGTTCTTGTAAACTTAGTCAAACTGGACTCTAATTGGATTAGATATGGTTTTGGTCACCTTGAGGTGATTCACCTTCGATGTTACAAGTTTACACGTCTTCAGATTTTTCTTCTCCTCAATATGTCGTCTTCTTTCATGCCTAATCTAATGATTCCATACATTTATAGATTGTTGACTTTTTCCAATCTTGCTTAGTTGACTCCAGGACCTGGTGAATTGTTTCCATCTTATATTCAATAATCTTCTTATCTATCAAATTACAAAAGAACAAGAACAAAAACTCTCTGTCTTTGGAAACTATTCACCAGACAAACAAAACGCACAAAACGATCATCATCACAAATCAGAAGAAGATGGAGGAAATAAAGAATCAAGAACTGGAAGAAGAAGAAGAAGAAGAAGCAGGAGGAGGATTAGGATCAACAACAATGGAGAAAGTGTACATAGCTGTAGGAAACGATGTACAAGAAGGTTACAAGACGATCCATTGGGCTATAAAGAAATGGAACAACATACCTATCTCCATTGTCCTTCTTCATCTCTGCAACATTTCTCAAGATTTTGTCTACACCCCTTGTATACAAATTTCTTTCTTCTCAATTCACACTTTTTCTTTTCCTTCTTGTATATCATATAAACTCATTTCACATACATGTGTGTATTCATCGTAGTTGGGAAGCTTCCAGCGAGTTCTGTGAGCGAGGAGAAGCTTCAAGTCCTCAGAAAATACGAGGAACAAAAGATCGACAAGTTGCTGTCCAAATACATTACTTTTTGTGGAAAGGTTTGTCCTTTTTCTGTGATTTCTGTTTTTATCATGGTAAGAAATCCAAGTAATCTTACATTTCATGTTAATAAAACAGTTACAGGTGAAAGCAGAGTTACTCAAAGTTGAGAAGCAGGATGACTCAATTCAAGTGTTGATTTTAGATTTAATCACAAAGCTTAGAATCACAAAACTCGTAATGGGGATCACTTTCATGAGATCTTCATCTTCTTGGTAACATTTTTCTTTAGTTTTCGAATTGACCTCTTTTAAACCTTAAATTATCAATTTCAACCTAAAAGTTAATTTGTTTCTTGTAATGCAGGAAATCGAAGAGTGCTATAAGCGGATCGTTTTATGTTTATCAAAACAAACCAGAATTTTGCGAGTTTTATATAATTTGTGGAGGCAAAATGGTTTTACTAAAGAGAGAGAACGATGTGAACAACAATAACAATATCAGAAGCTGGCTTGGTAAGATGTTCCATGATCCAGGGAGAAATCTAGACCGCTCATCTTCGAGCAATGATGATCCAACGGCTAGTGGAAGTCCATGGGATAATAATTTACAGGTGATAGAGAATTATTTCCAGCAATTATTGAGTTTGAATCTTGAAGAAGAAGAAGTAGTAGAGGAACACGAAAGCCGTGTTGAAGAAGAGCAAGAAGAAGATGACCTGGCACTAGACGTGCTGCAACATATGGTAAGGATACTGTCAGAGAATATGCTTTTTTATCGAATTGTTATTTACATTTTGATTAAATATTTTATACTGTTGTTGAAATTTTCAGAATGTAGCAGAGAAGTTAGATTATGTGAGAAGAAAAGTAAACGAAGCTAAGCTGATGATAGATGAGAAGAGAGAGGAAGTCAAAGTCAACGCTGAAAGATCCGACAAAGCTGAATGGGCAATCTCTTTATGCATTAGCAGAGTAATAGCTAAAGACCTAACCTTTTGGAATCATCCTAAACAAGAACTGAGGTTCTTTAAGTGTTAAAGTAACTTCTTTTTGGCTTGAATCAGATTGAAGAGCTTGAAGCCTGGATTAAAGAAGAAAACGAGAGACGAGAGAAACTTCAAGGGACGTTAGATTCGGATAAAGAATGTATTGAACAAGCGAAGAACTATGTCGAGAAAGGAAAAACAAAGCTTCATTCACTTGGTGAGCTTCAAGAAGAGCTGTCAAGCAAAGTTAAGACTAGGATGGAAGCTAAACTGCAGGTGGAGGTTGAGCTAGAGAGGGTTGTGTTACAGAGAGGAGAGATGATAACCGAGATTGAGAAACTGAGTAATCAGAGAGATGTTTTCAACCGTAGGATTGAGTTTTGCAAGGAGAAAGAGGCGAGAGGTCTGGTTTCGGAGGAAGAGGTGACATGCGGGTATAGAGAATATGTTGCAGAGGATATCAGAATGGCCACTGAGAGCTATTCTGATAGGTTGAGGTTGAAATCTGGTGGTAATTGGACAAATGTGTACCGAGGAAGGATCGAACATACAACTGTGGCTGTGAAAGTGATTGGTGCTGGTTTATCAGATGATGATTTTGGAGCAAAAGTCAAGCTTTTGAATGAGATTAGGCATCCTAATTTGGTAGCAATTGCAGGGTTTTGTTCACAAAGGCCTAAATGCATACTCTTTGAGTATATGCACAATGGGAACTTAAGGGATAATCTATTCACATCACAGAGGAAAACAAGAAGAAGCAAGATATTGAAATGGCATGATAGGATTCGTATAGCTCACCAGGTTTGCTCTGGACTCGGGTTTCTCCATTCCGTTAAGCCTAAACCAATCGTCCATGGTCGCCTTACGCCTTCTAAGATCCTCTTGGATCGTAACCTTATACCAAAGATAACCGGGTTTGGACTCATAATGCATAGTGATCAATCTGATACGAAACCTGATGTGATGGCTTTTGGGGTTTTGCTTCTGCATCTTTTAACGGGAAGGAACTGGCCTGGTTTGCTTAAGGCAATGTCAATGAACCAGACAAGCATTCTCAGGGATTTGGATCAAACAGCTGGTAAGTGGCCACTCGAGTTAGCTAAAGAGTTTGGTGCACTTGCAGTAAAGTGTTCTTCAGTTAACAGAGGAGGGAACTTGGATTTCTCAACCAAAGAGATAATGGAAGAGCTTGGTAAGATACGGGAAAAAGCCGATGAGTTTAAAATCATAGGAGGGTATGAGGAAGCAACCAATTTAAACATGGATGAAGGAGATCCGAATGACATACCAAGTGTTTTCATGTGTCCCATACTACAGGTATCAAAGTCCAAGTCCATATCTTTTCATTCTCCTTAATAGCAGCTCAAAGAGAAAGTGATTACTCACAATCTAACTCGTTAATGTTGCAGGAAGTAATGAAGAATCCACACATTGCAGCCGATGGGTTCTCGTATGAGCTTGAAGCCATAGAGGAATGGCTGAGCATGGGACATGACACATCTCCTATGACAAATCTGAGACTAGACTACCAGGTTCTTACACCAAATCATACCCTTCGTGCTCTCATTCAAGACTGGCATAGCAAAAAAGCAGCACAAGCTTCCTCATAGATTCTTTTTGTATAACCTCAAAAGGATTAAAATTGTGTAATTTTTGATTCACATCTCCTTTGTTAAGCTATAAAGCATACTTGTATTGTAGTAATCAGCAACAAAGAATCAACATTGACAAGCTTAACTCACAAATAAGATTATCAAAATGGAAATTATGCACATAGCTTTTCATATTACCTTACCTTGTAGTCAACAAAACAAAATCTACAATTCTTAGACATCTGCTGCTTTTTTTAAACTAATACTATCAAACACAAACAAACAAGGGAACATATTCAAAAGTAAAGGGATCACCACACCAAAAAAGAGAAACAAAGCAAGGTGAAGAAGAAGACGAAGATGACTGCTCCACCCTTTTTACGTAGTCGATACAGGAGAGAAAAGGCGAACAATTCGATCTTTCTGCTCTTGATATCGCCGCTCCAGAAAAGTCTCAATGATCTCCATGACCGAAACGAATCTCTTCATATGCTCCAACCTACGGCTTAGCTCAGCTTCTCTCGCCCTTGCTCGTCTCAGCCTTGCCTCCGTTTCCGCGAGCCGGTCTCGGAGATCGTCAACCACTGAATCGTCGTGCGATCGGCGACGGAGACTGTTACGCGATGAAAACGATTGATTGTGACCGTAACACATCGTTAGGAAGAGATAACACAAAAATCAATTTCTTTTTTGGGATTCTTCACTACAAGGAAGAGAGAAGACATTAACCGAAACGAAAACATTAATCAAGGGTGTTTTGGTCATTTAACATATAATTAGATATTTAATATAATGGTTAAAACCTTCTTACTGGCCAAGAGGGTTAAGTTTCCGTATAAATCAGTCACCGGCGGTGAAAGGAGGAGAAGGAGCAAAAACAATGGCGAAGCCTTCTTCTTCAGCTTTCTTCTCTGAAACCACTTCTCGTCTCCCAGACGACACCGTCTTCTTCTCTATATTCCCTGACTCATCTCTCTCCGGCGCCGGATCAGAAACCTCCGCCGCACTTCAATCGCTACACTTAGAAATCATCGATTTCGTTTCGCCGTTTACTTCTCCTTACATATGGCAGCACGAACCCTTCTCTCTTTCCATCGCGCTCTCCTCCTCTTGTGCTTGTACCGATACTGCTATGCCTCATCTCCACGGGAAGCTCAAGTACGGCGACAATCTGGAGGACGAATGGTTCGCTGTGTTCTTGCTTTTTCGTATCTCTGCTGCGTTTCCGTCTAATTCAATCCGTGTTTGGGACACCGACGGCGAGTTTCTCCTAATCGAAGCTGCTTTTCACCTCCCGCGGTGGCTTAATCCGGAGACTAGTCTCAATCGTGTCTTCATTCGCGGTGGTGACCTCCACATCGTTCCCAGAAGCCGCTTGCCTGATCCTTCTTTAGTTGCGTCTCTGCGATTTCTAATCGAGCGTGGTAACGAATCTCGTGCGACGGATTCTGTTCAATCCGCGTTGAAGAATCGGATTTCTGATTATCCCGAAAGAGCGTGGAGGAATATGCACCGTGTTAGGGTTAGGGTTCCGATATCAGTAGCTCAAGTGCTTAGACACGAACCTTTGTTGATTTCGCTTGCAGTGGAAGGGTTTTACGATCGTGATGTTGATTCAATGAAGCACGCAGCGAAGATGGAGAAGTTCTTGTGCAAAGGAAGAGACGAGGAGCTTGTGCTTGTTCTTGTTAAGATGTCTCGTGCAATGTACGGGCAGCTAGTGCAGCAGAAGTTTCAAGCACCAAATTGTTATCCTATGCCCAGTGTTAGCGACAGGGATGCTTACACTGAAGCTGAGCTAGGAATGAAAATAGCTTGTGGTTTGGAAATGATGTATCAGCAGAGGAAAAAAGGAGGAGAAGATGGGAAAGGAATTAGTTGGAGCAATTATAAGGAAAATCTTGAGAAGAATGGTTATTTTGAAGGATTGCTTTATGGTTCGAAGGAATACAAGAGGTTGATGGAGAATGCTGAGGAATACTACCAGAAGAGTTCTTCGTTTTCAAGGGCAAGGTAATAACGTAGCTTTTGTTTGTATTCAGAGAAAAGGATTTGTCTTTGAGTTGTTTGTGATCTTAATTTTTATGTGCAGAGACATTATGAGTGCGCCAGTGAGACGTATTGATGAGATTCTTGCTCTACCATTTACAGAGGATGACTTCAAGGGTCTGGAAGTTCCTGTTTCTGACAGTGATTCTTGGCTCTACGATGGTGAAGATGAGCTAAACTCTGTTCTTCAAGAGAGGCAGAAGGAGATGGAGTTTTATAACTCTAAGAAGGAACGCAAAAAGAAAGCAAAGGAGAAGCAAGAAGCTGGAAGCTCATCTGATGCAAACATGAACAATTTTGATCTCGGGGATATCTCAAAGTCGATGCAGCAATTCATCCAGAATGTATCAAGCTACAAAGGAGCAGAAGTGCCAGAAAGCAGGTTATCTATTATTTGAACATTAGCCATATTTCATGAACATCTCTTTGTCAATTTTAATCTCAACTTATTGTATTATCTTTGCTTGAATCCTGTAGGGATTTTAAAGAAGTAAATTTAGATGTTGATCGTTTCATGAAGGATATTGAGTCAGCGCTAGGGAGCCAAGCTCATGACGAACATGCTGGTGACGAAAGCGATGGCTCTGAAGGATCTTCGATGGACATGGATTTTGGTATCTTCTACTTTAAACTAATCATTTTTTGTTCTTGTGGCATGTTAGGTGTGGAGTGTGAGGACTCACTAAATTCTTTTGGTATGCAGATGACTTTGAAGATGATAGCGAAGGAGAAGAATCTAATGAGGATGCTAAGGAAAGTTTTAAGGAATCCTACTATGGAGTAATGAATGAGGAACTGAAAAACTCAACTCTTGAGAAAAGCTTTGAACATGTGAATCAACATTCATCTAAGCAAAAAGAGGTACCATCTTGGAGCCAATGTATCCTAGATTATCTGTGAAACTTAAGAGCTTCAAAATTGGATTGTAATGGTGATTATGTACATCTGCAGGAATCATCAAAGACTTCAGATGAGAAGGACGATGAATTTACACCAATTGATGCAGATTTCAACCTCGTCAAGAATCTACTTGAATCCTACTCTTCACAGCAAGGACTCCCTGGTCCTGCTTCCAATTTGCTCGGTCTCATGGGTTTGCAGCTTCCAAAGGATTCTAACGAGAAAAACTGAATGCTGACACAGATGTAGTTTTGGTTTACTTTTTTGTTTCATCACATTAATTTTGCTAAGTTTCTTAGATTTATTCTCGTGTGCCACGCTGTTGGATTTCTTGTGTTGTCGGAAGAAAGTACATGACATGTGAAATTCAAGAAAACAAACTTATGTACATGTACACTAATATTACACATCATCAAACCACAAAAGAACAAAAGAAAAAAAGATACTTTTTTTTTTCTTCTTTTCCAAACCCAATTTTTTCTCGACCACAGAAGTGAAGCAGAAACGCTTTCACGAGAGAGAGAAAAAAAAAAACCCACATGAAAAATATCCAATACTCTCAAATCATATTCATATCAATTCAGCTTCATGTTGCTAAGTCTCCATCACCATCATCTTTGTCCATTAGTAGATTCTTGAGAGATGACTTAGTGTTTTGTTGTCACTCGCTTCAAACAGAGAAACAATAGAAGTCTCCAGAAGCTATCCACGAATCTTGTGCTTCTTTCTTTTTTTCTTTTCTTCTTTTTTTTTTTGTGTGAGATTATTCGATTTTTGATACTGAAACAAAAGAGAAATAGTCTTATTCTTCTTCTCAATCTCCAGTTTATAGCTTCCCCATAGACGACAGCCACTGTTCCATGTTCTTCCCATCTGCAGATTTAATATCATGAGAACCAAGAACAATTCAATTTACAATTTAAAGACTACAATCAATTATGGTAGTATCAACCTAAAAAGCAAACTAATAAGATCATCTCAAAACATGCATAAAACTCAAATACTTGCTACTAATGAATGACGATAACGGAAACAAACATTACCAGTAGGAGAGAAGAAGCCATTAGAGATCTGATTCCCTGAACCATCGATAACTTTCTTGTAAAGAGGAACCAAAACCACAAAGCCACCACACTCATCGTCTTCAGTTTTAAACCCTGCTCCATGTGGCTCAACCCAACCAATTGACCACTCTGGGTCATCTGGTTCAGGAAACACAACATTCCCCATCTTGTCCTCTTCTCCTGATCCAGACCCTCCTCTTCCACCAATCCATCCTCTCTTGGTCTTCTTCACCGATGAAGAGGAGGAAGAGCCAGCCTTAGTAGTCTTCTTGAGTGAAGGACTCAATGAAGAAGATCCTTTAGTCATCGACTCTTTCTTCTCTCTATCTTTAGTGTTGCCACCACACAACCACCTCGGAAGACGAGGAAAAGAGACTGCCATCTTTTCTTTTCTTATCCAAGAACAACAAAAACTCCGAAAACCCCGGAGAAAACTCTAATCAACCAGCCATGGATCGATGCTTTATCTTCTTCTTCTTCTTCTTCTTCTTCAACCTGTTCACAATAAATAACCACTTTTTTATTAATCACCCCATCTTCAATAATAAAACCATCATAATAATAATGTCACCATTATGATGACACTGACCAAACACAAAACAAATACAGAATTGACTTTACACAAATTTCAGAGAAAATTTCCTAATCCATTTATACTGTTTGATGATGTGATCTATTAATATTTAACTCTCATCACATAGATTAAACACGAAATTTCCTAATTTAAGAAGGGAAAAAAAAAACACATTATCTAGTCTCAGATTTAATCTTTCTCGAATTCAATTTCAGATTAGAGACAACGCAGATCAGATATAAATATATTATTGTGGTTTCCTTAGAGGAGTGTTCATCAATGGAAAGTAGTAATTAATGTTTCATCAGATCGGTGGTCCAAGTAAATTATATGAAAATAAAAGCAAAGCGATCGAGAATTGAAGATAAAGAAGAAAGGAAGATCATCAAAAGCCTCCGATGTTAGTCAAAAACACGGCAAGGCGTCGCCGGATAATTCGGCGGAAATAAATGCGAAAAAATCGGAAGAATGAGAAAAATCTCCGGAAACGTAAATTACCCGAGAAGAAATTTACAAAGAAAAAAAATCAAATCGACGATCGAAGAAACCCTAAGAAGAGAATTGGCGTCGTTTCCTCCGTCCGTCGTCTATGACTCTCTTCTTCTTCTTCTTCTGAATTTCTGACTTTTCTCTGACTTGTACAGAGAAGCTCATCCTTGTGCTCTTCTTCCTTTATTTATATTACTCTCTCTTTCTTTTTTTTTTTCTTTTTTTTTTTAATTCATTGCCGTTTTTTCAATTGGGCCTCGCTTCTGGCAGAACTAATTAAGATTGATCCGACGGTTGGTAGCGGTTTACTTGCTTTCGTGGCAACTGTTTGTCTACGGTTCTACTGTACACTTCACGACACTTGATTCTACCTATTTTATTTTCATTAAGAAAAAAATAAACGAATATCAGGGGATTTATACGTAGTAAATCAACAAATTAATATTGATTTCTAAGACTGAACGATTTTTCTTATTAATTTTTTAATTTTTGGTATAATGATGATTATATCGGAATTTTCAATTGAAAATGAATTAAAAGTTCATGCATTTTCCCGGAAGCAATCATCTCGTTTCTGTATGGATTTTTGTGTAATTATAGATATGCTTTTAATTAATAATACTCCAAGTGATAATGTTAACTAACAAAAAGTTAATTAAATCGCAATTAAAGGTACCTTTAATCCATGTACTATATATATTGTCTCTTAATTTTTACTGTGTTATGATCTCTTAAACGTACTTCTAAACTTAATACACCATGAATGTTATTGTTACTAAAAAAAAATATTTATTTGATAAACGGTCGCAAAAAAACCTGCAAAATTATGGGTAACAACAGACGTCACTGTAAATACCAAAAAATATAAAAATCTAGACAACCTTTTCCCAATAGTTCAGCTTTTTGGCCCAATTACTAATTTATTTTCATATACGATGATTACGGATAAAATAGTGGATTTATTAGAATCTTAAGGTATATTACAATTAGGATATCCTATACACTTGTGGTTGTTGTTAAGATCACAAGCATTTGTATTATTAACGAAAAACATTGCACTATTATGCAATTCATGTTAACATGTAGAAAACAATGCAATTTTCTCAAATACCTTTCGGTCTTTACAATTTGTTAGCAGTTTCCACTTTCCATAGTACACTTTTTGTTTAGAGAAGTCAGAACCTTTAGAGAGCCAAAATTCTTATTAATAACAAATCAGATTCATACATACACTCGAATACTACTAATCAAACTATACTCTTTTTTATTAAGCCTCAAGAACACAGAGCTAAACACCAACTAGCCTCATCCAAGAATCGAGAATTTATTTTTGCTACTACCAGAAATATATCTAAAGATCCAAGACTTTTTTAACTAATCAAACATGGCACATACAATCAGGAGCAGGATAAGTATAAATCGACTGTTTTGGTTTCCTTAACCGAATCTGACCTTGTCTATTCACATGTCCTTCTCCAAGCGCTTGTTGGAAATCAGCCCATGTGATGCTTTTGTTGAGGAATAGCTGTCCTATTAACGCCATGTTTGGTCTGATTGTCTTGAGATTCTCGAATGTCCGATGACCAACAAGAGCGTTGTGCATGTTTCCAGGTGATGCAGAGATGAATATGTCACTGTGCATACTCACGTAGTAATCAAGGGCAGCTAGTAAAGAAGCTTTGCCTTTTATTCGAGCTCGTTCTTCTGAAGAAGCAAGACTTCTTTTGTCTTCCATTCTTGGGAATACTTGTCTTAATGTTGAGATTCTAGCTTCTCCTCCATACACCTGAAATTCCCAAATAGAAACGGTAGCATTATGATGCAGCCATGCAAGTATAACCGAAAAAATCCCCTGTTTTATTCTTTAAACCAGTCTTGAAACGCGTAATATTATAGAAGACACTGACCTTGTGGGATGCAAGATAGAGACGAGTATTGTTGTCAAATCCAAAAGCAGCTAGAAGAAGTCCCATTTCTTCTGGTGTTAGAGGACATCGTCCTTGACTTCTTAACTCTTCATCTGTGAATTGTGAATTCAAAACTCTTCCTTGCCATATCATTTGCCGGTATTTCGCCAATGCAAGTTTCTCGGCTTTGCCTCCACCAAAATCACACGCCGAATGTGCAGCCATGTCCTATGATCACAACAAGGATAAAACTTTTATGATCATATAACTCAAGAGGCCTCATCAAATGCTTCAAGTGGGATCCAGAAAGTATAATATACCTTATCAAAACGAAGATGAAGCACGGCAAATTTACCGGGCTCTTGTCTGCTATGTGAGTTGGTCATGTCTCTTAAATGATCCACATTTTTCTGATCTTTATTATTTCTCCATGATGGGTTTCTAAGACGGCTCACAAGAGCATCACCGAGTGATCTAATGTGAGGAACAAAGCGTAAAGCTTGGAAATTTACTTTGCATCTTAGCCGTTGGATCTCAGCAGGTAGGTGATCAAATGATAGACGGTGAGAGAATGGAGATATAGCAGCGATACCATAACTACAAAACAAAACAAAAATGATCCACACTTAGTCTCAAAGTTGGAAACTTCATCTACATATTTTTATTATGTTACGTTAGTCAAAGTAAAAGACATACCTTTGAAGAACCGGTGAGACGTTCTCCATATACCAATTCGCAGAAGCATGAACAGGTGCGGTTTTTACTCGGGTTTCACGGACTGCTGTACTGTAATACTCTCTTGTACTCCAAGAGTATTCATCAGGAAGTTCTCTGACTACCCTTATGTCATCTTTCAACGCATCAATAAAATGATCGACATCGAAGATATCAACAAAAGAACTGCACACGGAAAGAAGAAAACACACAACTTCAGCTTCGAACAACCCAAGGCAACAACAAAACTCATCTTTGAAGGAGGACAATTTATCAAGAAACATTACCTTGTATCTTGCCAAACAGGATTCACTTCAAGATACGGGATCACGAGAGTTGCGTTTAATATCTTAGCCACTGCAACTGCATCACATATCCCCATTCGTTGCTGATTAAGTCCTCCATCGAGAAATACCTGAATATATCCTTCAGACTTAACCGGTAACGCTGCTCCAAGACAACAAGATTAGTCAGAGATCAGTATAATCAAACAACTAAAGGGAAATTTTCTAACACTTTGTCAATCCTTACCAGGGGAATTTCCCAAATCAATACAAGGACTCCATCCTTGATCAGTCAATGGCCTCCACAGATCAGACTGTTCTCCACTTGACTGAGATTAAAAAGAGACAACCAAAAAAAAAGCCAGAAATATCTTAACTGTCTGAATTGGGAAAAGAGATCATGAAGAATCATTTAAATTATCAGATTTTACCCGTTGCAAAGCGCTCTTTAGCAAAGATAAATGTCTTGGCTTTATCGTGATCACTTCCTGCAAAAAAAAATGGTTTGCTTATAATCAAAAGAGAAGTTCACAATTTGACTCAAGAGAAACTCTTTGACTTGAAATTGAAACAAGTGTAAGTTTATTTTCCGGTCCCAAACTAGTCAAATTCCTAATAAATCCAGAGAAATATTTAACCAAATCGTTAGTAAACACTATAAAATTCAACAAACACAACCACCGTTGATGTCTCTTTCTCATTGTCTTTCTACGAATGTATTCAAATTAAGAAACTTCTTCATTAGGCAAATTGAAACTACTATTTCTGGATATCCATATCCTAAGACCATAGTTCAATATACTTTCCAGAGACAACAAAAAGAAAATCCCAAAAGCTGATAATTTTGCATTTTCCTGGAATCCAACCAAAAGAATCCCGGGAAAATAGGAAAAGAAAGAAGAAAATTTTATCGTTTGCCCCAACTTACAGATGACGAAGACGAAGTGGAAAGGTTGTTGCAGAGGAAAACGACGAAGAGGAGCACGGAGAGAATCCTTCTTCTCAGGAAGAAATTGTCATTCGCAACATAAAGATTCATCCTTTATTTCTTCTCAGGCGAGCTAAAAAACGAACGAACCCAGATCCAGTTCCAAGGAAAGTTCAAGGCTTTATTATATACCCAATCAATCAAACACCAAGGAAACGAAAGATCACAGAAGACGACACAAAGGCAGAGTCAGAAAGAAACGAAACCAGAGTCACATGAATCAGAATGCTCTCTTGTCACTTTCTCGCTACTTCTTCTTCTTGTTCCACTTTTTCCGGGCTTTTGGTGAATCTTCTTCTCTTCTTCTTCTTCTTCAACACACTTAGCAAGTTAGGATTAAAAATGTTGATCAAGTTCCCAGAACGGTTTATAGTAGTAAAGACTAAAAGAGAGAGAGAGAGAGAGAGAGAGAGAGAGAGAGCGCGTGTGAATGCGTCTCTCACATGGACACCTGTTCATTAAATTTGATGTCCTGTCTCCATGGGGTCCCCCGTCTTAATACAGTGAATTAAAACACGGCGAAATTTTTCACTTTTTTGTATTCTCCCGTGACACCTAAATGGAGATTACATTAATTTAATTATATTCTTCAGACTCCTGAATGACAACGTTGCATAATTATTGATATTAATCCCACTTAATTGCGGTATTATACTTTACTTATTGAAAACTTTTAAGTTCGATGGCCTGTTATATGGAAAAGAATTTTCATATCAGGCATCTTATCTTTAAAAAAAAAAAGCAAATGCTATAAGGAAACAAAATCAAGAGATATTAATACATCATATGTTTTTTGTTCTTTCCTTATATGACTCTTTCCTTTTAATATAGCAGATTTTGTCTTCTATATGTGGTTGATATGGATAAATAATTACTATGAACATCTTAGTAAATGATTAACATAAGACTTTTTAAGGAAATTAAATTGTGAAATACTAACATTTTATAACGCCTAAACGTACATCATGCTTCTATATATGTTATGTGTTTCACAATTTATTAAAGGGAAAATTGATTTTAAAGGATGTTTTTTTAAAAATTTGTCCATCTATGCCTTCTTTTTTTAAGTTTGGTATATTAGGTTTTAAAATAAGAAAATGCTCAATTATATCCTTACTTAGATTATATGAAAAAAAACATCAAACTTTTTGACAAAAAAAAAAAAAAACATCAAACTAGGAAAATTTCTGTAAGAAAAAAAAGATATTTTTAAATCTAAAAAAATCAAAAACATATATTATTTTTTCCTTTTAAAAAAAACTCTTCTCATTTAATATTGTAAAAAGGTAAAAAAAACCAAAGATAGACTCGACGATGTCAAAATTTTCTGAAAAATAAAAACTTCATTTGTTCGTGATTATCAAACCTAAACTAGGAAGATCGTTTGAGACTAGCTCTTTAATATTGTTAGTTTTTAATTTTTGGTCAAACTCAAGAACTGTATATACACCTCACGTTCACTCAAAATAAAAATATATGATTTCTAGATATTAGGGAATACAAAATATTTTGTTTCCTTTAATTTATGATTCAATTTCCTTGTATAAGATAGTTCTAAAAATTCGTAGAATACATTTTCTAAAATATGAAGAACAAAGAGTAAAGTGTAGAATTGATGATCTAACTTTTGTAGAATATAGGGTAAAGTGTAGAAAATAAATTCTAAAATTTGTAGAATATAGAGTAACATGTAGAATACATATTCCAAATTTTGTAGAACACCAACCAAACCTGAGTTCTAATTTTTTTAGAAGATATATATATATTCTAAAATTTTCAGAATAAGTGCAATGCGAAGAATTTGTAATCTACAATTTTTAGAACATGTAGAGTGTGCAGAATTCATAATCTAAAATATTTAGAATACAGAAGATGTATTCTAAATATTGCAGAATGATTTTTTTCAATATCAAAATCAACTTACTTTCATCCAAAACTCTTTTGTTTAACCTTAAATCTTATTAATCTTTAATTGTTGATATGTTTTAATTTAAAAATTAATTAAAAATTAATTTTATTTATTTAAAAGGATAATTTAGGTATAACTGACAATTAACCGCAGAAAGCCTAAAAGGACAAATTTTTAAAAAAACATCCTTTAAAATCAAAACCCCCTTTATTAAATCACAAATATAAGTATTCTGTTGACTAAAAACGTAAAAATCCCATGAAAATGCCATTAAACGTAAAAGAATTAACACGTTACGCACTCATCAAGTTTTTAATTGACAGGGTCATTTACAAATATTTAAGGACATATCTAATTACCATTATTTTGTCACCCTCACATAGTCACATACACAAAGTCACAAACAAAAGCTAATGGCCTTGGATTAGATTAGTAGTTGCTGCCTAATGCCTATATAAATATCCTCGTGAAAATAAACCCAAAAAAAATCAGAAAAGGCTGTGAAACAAAAATAAAACATTGGGAATAAGATAAGAGTCCATTTTATATTATTATTTTTATTAGATTTTTGGACCGTTAGGACAAATAAAGACAGCTTTTTTATTTTTGTTTTCCGAATAGACAGCTTATATATATTTTATATTTTTTTGGTCGACATATATATACGCATGGCTGGAACGAAAATTTCAGTTTTTCTCTTATGCAAATATTTTGAGAAAATAAATATATATTTTTTAAAAAAAATTATGTGAATATGGTTAGAGGCACCGACACTTGGCTCTGTGTTCTTCTTCCCCATTAATAGCATCTCCAAAGGGAGACTCTTCTTTAGAGGTTCATGTCATACTTTTAGAAAAATTTATGATTAAATTGAAGTTATGAAGCTATTAAATCATGTTTTGTTTTTCATGCTTCAATGGTGAACCCCATAGAGGTTCTAAAAAATAAATATTTATTTTTATTTTAAATATAATTTTTAATTAAAAAAACAAAAACTAAAATTATATCTTAACAAAAACATAAAAGCATATCAATTACACTTCAAGCTTACATCTAAAATTATAGAGAAACAATCAAAGTTACCAAATATTACAAAATTCTGACTTCTCAGCCTTTCATATTTTTTTCTTCATCTATTATTTAGCATACCAATATACCAAAACTATATTTTAGCTAATCAATTCCTTACTAAATTACTACCAAGAAAATTGGTGCCTGAGGGAAATATAGAGAGAGAGATGTGATCACCAATGTTCTTCGCCACACCACAAAGCTCGACATCATCAAACCTCTCGTTCACATGAAAGTATCCAACAATACACAAACCTTGAGCCACGTAATGCTCCTCGATCTACCACAATAAAAACAAACACATCTGAATCAGTATATAAAGATACTGACATCAAATCTCTCTCAAGCACAGTTAGAGATCAAACGAAACAAGATCTGAATTTTGCATGTTTAAATAGGAATAACAGTATGAACTGAGAATCAAGCAACAAGAACTTGCTAATGATAGCATATGCAGCTGCAATTACATTTTAAGTACTCTTATGGCTGCACTGAAACAGAAGCAGAACACTCCACAACAGATCAAAGACTTGTCTCACCTAGTCACAGAAGCAATATCACTAATGATCAAGAGGCAGAAGAAACAATCTACACAACCTTCATGCTGCTAAAAAACATAACCTACACTTTGTGATTCCGATCAAAATTCTCTAACCTTAAACAAACAACCTAAGCCTCAATTCGTCTTCAAACTTAGCTAAGAACATAGATAGAGACTGCATATTGATTGAAATAACCCTAATTTCGCATCATATAAAAACCCCTAATTTTCTTAAAATCACATAAACCCTAATTTCGAAAACCTATAATTTAACAACATCTAGTAATCCTTTGAGATGAGATTCATACCTGGACAATGAAATTGGAGCTTCCTTCTAGCTAATTCCGGATTTTGAGAACAAACCCGTCGAATCTCACAATCGAATCTCTCCCCTTCTGAACCAAATATACTCGATCGTCTACCAAGACAGTGAAGATGTTGATAACAACCGCAAACAACCTCGAAATATCGACGATACAAGATGGAAAAGCTTCGACGATTTCAAAGAATAAATCTTCTTCTCTGTCGCCAAAAGAGACTCAAAGGAAGAAGAATTATTTTTTGCCACAGAGAGAAAGAGAAACAAACGACCCTTTTTTTTTCTCTTTCTTCTACAATTACCAACCAATAAAAAAAGAACACGTGGCTTAAGGAGCGATCGTAAAACACCTTCGTTAAGCATCGCTCCTTCACAATTTTCATTATTTTTATTTATTTTAAATCATCATAAATTCTAATTTTTGGTTTACCACCTCCCTTTGGAGATGGTCTTACAGCCTGACTTAAAGATTTTTCATATCTATCAAAAAGATCCACTCTTCTCGCTTCGTGTCCTTTTTTTTTTTAGTCTCTTCTTTTCAACCACTTTTTTTTTTCTTTTACTAGTTTTTAATTTCCCCATCAATGAATGTGTCCTCTATATTAATATGGTTCTCTATCAAAACATTAACCAATAATAATAATTATCACATTCATTACTACTCTTTTTTCTACGTTTGGCTAAACATCTACCAAGTTACTCGAGAACGAATATCACTCCTTTAAATTATACACACTTTTTGTTAGGCGAGATTTGTAACATGCATATTTATTATATACTCCGTTTGGTAAACCGACCTAATAGAATTAAATTACTATATACTATGACAGAGCAAAAAAGAAAAAACAGAGAAAATTATGCGTTTAGCCGGAAACATAATTCATATGGACATAAATGATAGGTTACAAAATTAGAATTAAAACTTAAAAGATATACTCGCATTAAAGCAAATATATATATATATATATATATATATATATATATATATATATTGATTCGGCGAGAACGTGACAGCTTAATTTGGATTACACATGATTAATGTATTATGGACTTGATTTTCAAAGGACCAATTTATTTAGAGCATTATACCGTATAATTTATACGATTTGTGTTGGCGTGGGAATATGATTCTCCTACTTTTATTTTTCTGTATTTTTCATTTTTTTTTGTTCTTTAACTGAGCAATTATTTAGCCGTACGTTGATATAAAAATATAAAAGTTTTTAAAGCATAGGAAAAAGGTATAGAAGTTGAGTTGAATGATATATTAAAGTGTAACAAAACTTATTTAAAGTTAAAGTTTTGGGATTACTCACTTATTTTTTTTTTTATTGGGATACAAATTTTGCATTGAACGAAACATTAAAGTTAATAGTATCACGACGCCAAGAATAATCTTACCATTTTTGTATAGTTAGAAAATACATTTAGTATCTAGGAATCTTATTCATGTTCCTGCTTTTTTAAGTACAACTCAGTGGATGTGATGAAGAGAAGAAGTTAACTACTTGAATAGTGTTAACTAGGCTTTTAAGTTTTCATTAACAAGTTTTAAATGCCTTAAGATTTTATATAAAAGCCTTAAGATCGTCAAATCTATGCTTTAAGCTTATTAATGATATTGACTTACAAATCACATGGGCCTGGTCCAATTAAGAAAAAGCCCTTTTCACTGGGGTATATTGTTTATAGGGTCCAAGAACGGTAAGACTTTGGGCCTTTTAATTAAAGCTAATTGGTAATATTGACTACAATACTACTGAACTAGAGCATTCAAGAAACTATAATTTATTTTTCTTCATATTTTTCACAAGCTCAAATTTCTTTCCACTAAGTTTCTTCATTCATAAAGTAGACCACCACCAAAAAGAATTGTAATGAATTTGTATAAATACGACTAACACTAATTATTTACCTTCAATGACACGCAACCTGGTCGGGTCCAAAATTCCAAAAAGAAATAAATAACAAATGCTAAAAATTCATAAGCACCACACACACAGAGATCTGCCTATGATGATGATGATTTATACTGCGAGTGCCAATATCATTTAATAATCATAAATAATCGAATTTTCATTTGCAACCTTTGTCATGAATCATGATTATCATCTTATGCACACATTGATTAATTTAATCCTCCTTTAGAGAGACTGGTACTACTGTAGCTACTCATTGCACCGTAATTTTGAAGTGTCATTTGTGTTTTATTTACTTAACTAAGCAACCAATAAAATATTGATTAATTCCTGACTCTCTCTGTAATGTTTTTTTTGTTTTTGGGTTAAAAAATGACTGAAATTAAAAAAATAAAGAACCAAAATCGAACACGAGAAGGCGTCGTTAACGCACAGCACAAAATATTTTGTGTCTTAAAAGACGTTTTGGTGTCTCTGTCATTTTATTATTTTTAATTTCTTTTGTTTATTAAAAAAAAAAAGAAGAAGAAGAACATATTAATAAACGACATCGTATTTGATACTCCTTTGCCTCTACTGCCTTTCATTTTTATATCTGAGAAAGACAAAGAGACAAAGTAAGAAAAAACACACAAAAATTTGGAATTGGAGGTAATAAATTTCAAAAACTTTTGAATGCGTTGGTTTGGAATCTGAGGTTATCAGCTCCAGAATTGTGGTGGGTTTGTGGTGGAATCTGGATTAGGATTAGGGTTTGTTTTCTCCTTTGTGGATTTGTAAAATGGCGGAGCAGAAGAGTAATAATAATAATAACAATAATACGAATAGGTGGAACTGGGAGGTGACTGGGTTCGAATCGAGGAAGTCGTCTTCTAGTGAGGAAGGCGTTCATCGGAATCCGTCGTCTACGCTTCCACGGCACTCGATCCCGAAGAACTCGCATCCACCGCACTCGTCGGAGCTTCCGTCTAAGCTTCAGAGTTTGAATGATAAAGTTCAGGTGAGCTAATTCATCTTTCTCTTTTGAGATGAGAAATCAATCTTAGAGATTTATGTATCTTAGGTTTGAATGTGAATGTGGTTGAATTTGTAATATGCTCTTTTTTTCTATTGAAGAGTTTGAGATTGTGAGAGAGAAATGATTTTAATGTTTAGACGAGTATAGAGCTGAGCTTGTACAAGTCTTCAGTAAAATGCTATTGCGGTTGTGCGAGTAGGGATGCTATTGTTGAAGCTATTGTTTTAAGAAAAGTGGGTTTTGGTTATACAGCTTGCAAAGGACGATTATGTGGGATTGAGGCAGGAAGCTACTGATCTTCAAGAGTACTCTAATGCCAACCTCGAAAGGGTTACACGTTATTTAGGTGTTCTGGCTGATAAAAGTCGAAAACTGGGTAAGTTTTTTTTAGCTCCCTCGAGCGTATTCTTATTCGATACTGAAATATCATATACCTTTATCTATATACCCTCTGCTCATAGGATTTTTGTTACTGTTATCTTCTTCACGTTAGTTTGTTGTGGTGAATTTGGGAGAATGTGTTTTGTTCACTTATCTGCATAGCCTATCACAGATCAATATGCCCTTGAGACTGAGGCTAGGATATCTCCACTTATCAATGAGAAGAAAAGACTGTTCAATGACTTATTGACGACCAAAGGTGCAGATCTTCCATTTCCGATGTGATTAGTCTTTTCTCTATCTTTACTTTTGTTGATTTTCCCTTCAACACTTAGGATTTTCTATATGACCTGAATGTGTAGTTTATATTCGACCTTTCAGGGAACGTTAAGGTATTTTGTCGAGCAAGACCATTATTTGGAGACGAGGGTCCTTCTATTATTGAATTCCCTGATAACTGTACCATACGTGTAAACACTGGTGATGATACTTTGACCAATCCCAAGAAAGAGTTTGAATTTGACCGAGTTTATGGACCTCAAGTTGGACAAGGTGAGTTAGCATACTTTACTGTTGGTGTAGTCTTACTTTATGCTTAGAAATGTTTCCAATATTTGTCTAAAACGGTAGCAAGTATTCATACATTTGGTTGGTTTGCAAATGTAGTCTATGAACTCATTCCTTATAAATGTGGAACTTATTCAGTAAATTTTCCTCAGCTTCATTGTTCAGTGATGTCCAACCCTTTGTGCAATCCGCGCTGGATGGGTCCAACGTCTCTATATTTGCCTATGGACAAACTCACGCAGGGAAGACATATACAATGGTTACCCCTCCTTTCCCTTTCCTCTCTGAAATTTTGAAATTAGATAACAATCTTGTTCGGTATCCGTATCATTGGTGCTGTTCTGCTTCTAATATTCTCCTCATTTTTACTGCTTATTTGAATGTTTATACTTCCTATACCTTTTTGGCTCTGTTAACAAGCCCAAAATATCTATGTGAATGAATATTGAACTGCAGAGAAAATTTCATGGTGGCAGGTTTAATTACGATAGGCAACCTCATGGATGGTCATAGTGTTATCTTATTGATTTATGAG